CTCACTTACTCTGGTATCTCCTACAGTAGATGGCACCATAGCCTCCCTGAGCCAGGAGCTGAGGATTCACTGAGCCACAATGGTAACAATAAACAATAACAATAATGATAGCCGGCATTTTCCTGTGCTCCCCCTGTACTGAAAACAAGTGGGTGCCTCCAGCACATTAGATCATTTAGTCCTCACAGAATCCCTGTGAAATAAATAATTTTCTTTTTCCAAATCAGGAATGTAAGGCTTAGAAGGTTGTAAATTGCTCAAGCTCACTTGATTATAAAAATTTACAGTTGTAATTTCAGATTTATGTTCTTTCTTTCTCTTTTTGTGCTACTGGGGATTGAACCCAGGGGCACTCAACCACTGAGCTGCATCCCCAGCTTTTTACAATATTTTTGAGACAGATTCTCACTAAGTTGCCAAAGCTGGCCTCAAACTTGTGATCCTCCTGCCTCAGCCTCCCTAGTTCCTGGGATTACAGTGATGTGCTATGGTGCTCAGCCAGAGCATATATTCTTAATTACTATTCTTTCCAAAAATTGAAATTCAGGCATAAAGGTTATTATGTTATTAACTATCTAACAGTTGTATTTAAAACTAGTATTATAGAGGGAAAGGTGAAATTCTGGAAAATGGTATTGACCAAATTATTTTGTTATATCATGTGCATGTATGTATGAAACAATGAATCCCACTATTATGTATAATTAAAATGCACCAATACAAATATGGGAAAAAATCATGAAGAAAAATATTTAGAATTGCTTCCCAGTGTAAAGACTCTTTAAATTTCTCTACTTAATTACAATAACAATAAAAACAACAAAGTTTTATTAAAAATATCAAGATTTTTAAAACTCACTCTGAATAATAGTGACTTGCTGTACAGTGCTTATTATATGATAGGCATTATTTGAAGCAACTTACCTATCTTAACTCATTTATCTAATACTGTAAAGTAGGTACTATCATTATCATTTTACAGCTGAGGAAAGAGAAACTCAGAGGTTAAGTGACTTGCTCAGGGTCACATAGCTAACAAGTTGTAGAACCTGGATTTGAACCTGGGCAGTTTGGATTTAGCATTTGTGCTCTTAACCACACACTATACTGGCTGACAAGAGCGTAAATTTTGAACATACCTCAGATTTTGTGATATAATTATATAAATTGATTATATCAAGAAGGCTAACTGATCACTAAGCATAACAAAGAAGTTTAAATGTCAGCTCTCAAGCTATTATTTTTATTTAGTAGTAGACTATCTCCAGAAGTACAAAATTTCCTTAAAACTCAGTAGTGATGATAACTCATCACTCTGGACAGTCATAAAACAGAAAGTGCATGCTAACTTCTCACTTAATAGTTTACATCTAGGTCTTAGCTTCCATTCACACCCCTTTCCCCAACTCTCACTTTCTGATGGGGATAGTCACCTCAAAACACTGCCCAGGAGCCTGCTTTTCCAATCCCTCATCTCACTCTGCCATCCCATCCCATTTCATGTTTACTGAAAACTGGAGGAGCTTCAGGGATTTTTCTTTTTCTTTTCCCTTTTTTCCCCTCCTTTTTGTAGACTCTAGGAAACCCTGAGTTGGACCAAGATCTGAGGTTGGAAAAGGATGTTTTTACTACTGATTTTAAATTTCTGAAACAGTGGTCCTTGGCCTTGCCTGTGCATTGAACTCAGCTAAGGAGTTTCAAAAAAGTTCTCACAGCTGGGCTTCCTCTCTAATGCTTCTGATTTAGTCAGTCTGTGGTGTACCCTGGGCACTGAGAGTTCAAGAAGCTGCTGGAAGCTCCAAAGCAGAGCTGAAGTTGAGACCCACTTTGTCTACTGACATTTAGCACAGGACAGCTCTTTGTTGTAGGAGACTGTCGTGTGCATTGGAGGGTGTTTCTCAGCATCCCCAACCTTTACTGGCCAGGAGTCCTTTCTCTAGTTGTGACAACCATACCTGCCTGGAGATTTTGCTAGATGTCTTGCTAGGTGGAGGATGGGGGAACAAAACCACCTGCTTTGAAAACCACTGGTGCAGAGTCATTGCTAGTAGCCTGGGCTGTGAGACAAATCTCTCAGACAGGAAGAGAGAAGGGTGGCTGCTATCACACCCTTCTCTAATAGCAAAATATGCCAAGATGCTGCCGGGTACTGTCAGAAAACCCTCCTGTCATGGCAAGAAGCCTAATCAGGCTTTTTGTTCTTTAGGTTTTTGTATTTCAAATCAAAGAGATGGTATATTTCTTGAGGAACACCATAAAGGAAGGCATCATGGAGAACAGGGAATTAAGGAAATGATACAAATCTTCATAGATGACCTGAGGCACAACAGAAGGAGACTAAATCTTTTTTAAATTAGAGTGAACAGTCTGGCCTGGGTAAAATACTGTCTGTAGCTGGAGTGTTGCCGCCAGGAGCAAGGAAATAATGCACAAGGGCTTGGGTGCAAAGTGTGTGGACACCTGCAATTCTGGGCCCAGCCCAGGAAGGCCCTGCCACCAAACCCATAAAAGAGTGAGGTGAGAGTCAGAGTGGAGGTAATCTGCGCAGAGGAGTTGGGGTAGAATGAGCTCATGCTGGGGTTGGTGGAAACACAGGTTAGTGGGTTTCAGGGAAGAGCCCAGAAAGCACCACGAGACAGAGAAAGTGAGAGAAAGAAAGGAAGCAAATAGTGATGCATTAACAATAATTTGCCCCTGTGGGTGCCTGGAACTTACTCCCTTGGAGAGTCTCGGGGAGCCCAGGGCAGAACATAAACCTCAGAAGTGTCAGGTGAGAGAGCTGCTGTATTTATCCACCAGTTTCCATTTATCATTTGTCAGGGCCATTTATTCCTCAGCAGTTAGGCTGAGCTCTGGTTTTGTCCTCAGGTGGAGTTGCAGGTGTGGACCATTGAGAGCAGCCAGTTGGCAGTGGATGGTGATTGCTGATGGAATATGGCAGGGGCTGGGGGACACTGGCAGCTTCTGTGACAGTGGTCAAATTTAATTTTTAATAAAGATTTAATTTTTAATAAAGATTTTATTATATTAAAGAATATTGGGAAAGCATACTAATATTTGTCACTCTCAAAGATTCCTCTACCTTATTTTTGAGACCACGAAGTACCACTACCAGAAACTCAGCAGTCATCTCAGCCCTGACTGAAATGATTCAACTCCTTTTCCTCACTCTTTACACCCTATGCAACAAGCCCTTTCAGGTCCACTCCAGAACATTCTGGAAGTTTTCAGACCCTGTCTCTGTTGCTACTCCATTAGTTCAGGATGATGTTATTTTTCCCTGAACTATTAATAGCCTTCTCCTATGCTTCTCACGTCTCCTCTTCTTTCAGCTCCTTGAACCCACAAGGCGCTTTGTTGGAATATTACTCCTTTTCCTCTTTCCACCCCACTCCACCCGCACTCTTCCAATGACTTGCTTCTTCCTGTCCTTCAGATCTGAATAAATGTCACTTCTTCATTGAGGACCTAAGATCTCCTACCTGTTGTTCTATCTCAATCCCTGTTTATTTTCTTCTCAGCATGCTTTAACTGTAATTATTTTGTTTGTTGATTTTGTCTGTCTCCCTTTCTAAAATGTAATCTGCGTGAGAGCAAGCATCACATCTATCTCCTTCAGCCCTACATCCCTCATAGGATTGCCAAATTCAGGAAATAGATGATTCCAAGTTAAATTTGAAGTTCAGATAAACCATGAGTAATTTTTTAATAGAAAAATGTCCAGGAATTGCATGACATTCTTACACTAAAAGTGATTGGTGGTTTGTCTGAAATTCAAATTTATCTGGGCATCTAGCAGAAAGGGCAAGTCTAGTCTTTAGGTCCTGACCCATAGCTAATTCTCATTACACATCTTTGAATGAGAACTTGGTAGCAGCATATCAAAACTGCTACTATGGCAACAAAGTGGGAGAAATGTAATAAAACTACAGAACTGAAGCAGTGACGAACATCTGTTCCTATGTTTCTGATTTGTGTGTCTGATTAACCCCGGAGCATCTAATCAACTCAGACCCAAAGTCTTGGGCAGCTCAATAGTCTGGGTGGGATGGTGGGATGCTGACCACAGTAAGGGAGCTATCAGGTACAGCATTGTTATTTATTTACCCTTTTTTTTTTGGTACTAGGGATTGAACTCAGGGACACTCAACCACTGAGCCACATCCCCAGTCCTATTTTGTATTTTATTTAGAGACAGGGTCTAACTGAGTTGCTTAGCTTCTCACTTTTGCTGAGGCTGGCTTTGAACTCATGATCCTCCTAACTTGGCTTCCCAAGTGGCTGGGATTACAAGTGTAGGCCACTGTGCCAGGCCCTGCCTCATTTTTATCCTGGCTCTATGCCACAATCTTGATTTCCTCTGACCCTGATCTCCCAGACTGTCCGCAACCCAAGGAGAGATACTGCTTCTTCCTTTTCAAACAGTCATCTCTAGCACCTTGCTTTGGAGCTGGGAGTAAGGACTCAACACACCGGTACCAAATGGTTTAATAAATGAGTGAATAGTAGGTTGAACAACTATTCCAGCTTGACTAGGACTGAAGAGTGTCCTGGGATACAGGGCTTTAGTTGCAAAATTTGGAGTAGTCATGGGCAAATCGGAACAGCAGATCACCCAAGAGAATGAAATCTCTCTTCTTGGGGACAGGGATTTTTGCTCAATATCATCATATTGGCTGTTACATGACCACAAGATTAGATAGACTACAGTCCTGACTGCCCATCTATTTTAGGCTCACAGATGTAAGTTTGAAACTCTGCTGACCCCTTGGAATTCCCCATGCATGGAATAAATCCTAAGAATTTGACTTTGTGCTTCATCCTTCCTGGTCTTGTGGACCCTGATGGAGGCTTACAATTGTTCTCATAAAATGAAGGCCCTCTGGACAACTACATGGGCTGGAGTGTTAGCCTTGGTCCAGCCTCTTGGATTTACTTGGCTCACCAGTCCTGGCCAGTACAGATAAGCCTCATCAAGATTTAATTATAAGCATTCATCATTTCAACAGAATAGCAGCAAATTTATTGAGTAAGTAAGCTGATAGCCATAGAACTTTACAAATAGATTTCCACAAATGTTCTGACTTATTTGACTGTGAAAAAGTGAGTTCTCGTTCTAACCAACCCTCTTCCCTATTACTTCTAGAAGGCACAAGGTTTTCAGGGAAATGGCACAAATCCATTCTCATGTATGGTAACGATGCTCCAGGCTCAGTTGAATTCTGCTGGTTTCCTGGAATTGGGGGTAAAGTGGCTCTTGAGAGGCTCCCAGCATTTGTAGTAGTTCTCATCTAAACAATTGGAGGTCTTCAGTCCCCACTTGGTGACCGCCAAATTTAGGGAAGATTCAAACATAAATGCCTGTAGTAAATGAGGATGGAGATAAGAAGGGACAAGGTAGACAATAAAGAACATTTCATTAATTGTCAAGAGAAGATGTAGGTTAGCAAGATCTTCAACTCATCAATTGGTGAGGAGAGGAAATCCACACCCTAGGTTCTGGCTCTGGTCCTACCTCTCAGAAGCTGATGAGACCTTGTGCAAGACCTTTAGCTACTCAGGGCCTCGAGTTTCATTCTATGAAGTGGAATTGGGCACTTAGGCCACACATTATTCTCATAGCATTATGGAGCTCATTTTACTAGATCCAAGAGCAGAGGTGGGAGAGTCCTGAGATATTCTTCTTCTCCGGGGTCATCACTTACCTTGGCCATGTCCTTGTGAGAGAGGACAATGTCTCTGTTTTGCAAAGGAGGAAGCTAAGGCTCAGAGCTAGGAAGTGAGTTAATAAGTTGTGGCAAGGCTGAGATTTGAGCTTGCTCTTTCAAGTTTCTGACCAAGAAATTGGATGGGAAAAAGAAAAGGAGGAAGAAGAGGAGTGGAAAGGAAAAGGCAGGAATGACAATAGCACTTTTAAAATCATATCCCAGTAGGGTCTGAATGGTGTATCTCACACTGTTCTGGATATTTTTTGTCAACAACAGAAAGAATATTTAAATATTCTGTGCAACTGAGATATTTCAACTTCATCAGTAGCTGATTTTCCTACCACAGTGGCCTTAAAAAATAAGAGCAAAACCAAAAACAAACGAACCAACCTATGATTCTTATATACTCACATTAAAAAATTTAAAGAATATAGCTTTTGTGTGTGGGGGAAAGGGGCTTCACACATGCTAGGCAAGAGGTCTATCGACTGAATGACATTTCCAGTCAACATATTTAAAGAATATAGCAGACAAAAGAGAAATGATACAGTTTTCTTGTGATACTATTTGGAGCACGCATATTAATGTTTGTTGTCTCATTACATTACCTTCTGCTTGCCTACATCAATGGAGATAAGTGTTCTTGCCTGACTTCCTATGGCAGACTCCATGTGAGCTCTGGATGAGATTTATGGAGTGTTATGTAAGGTATAAAGCTCTATTCAGGTATAGCTGTTATGGCAATTAATATTGCTGTCTTTTGCTGACTGCTTCCTAGGTGCTTCCTAGAATACTAAAAACCCCGTCCCAGCTAAGCTATAAAGACCATATTATATCAAGTTAATCATTCCAAACTAGAATAAGAATAAAGCGTCTACAATGCCCTTAGGTCTAAAATTATATAATGGGAATGAGTGAGGGAAACTCAAAGTTGGGTAAAGTGTTGGGTACTTCTCATCAGGTATTGTGGGCTCCCAGATACTCTGGGTCTCTCAACCTAATACCTCTACATGAACAGCTCTTTCCTACTACTAGTCTAGATCCAGACATTACCTGAATTCTCGCTCGTTGTAAAAACTGCTTCCTGGTAACAATGACTATCCAAAGCCAATTTACGGGACCAACCAATGGTTACTGTGTGACAACTCAGGAGTAGCCTGTGCACTTTCAGGAGCCTTCAGAAACAATAGCTTAAATAAGATTGTCAAACCATGTGACAGAGATATAGGGGTCTTTTAAGAACCCTGCAGATACCCTTGCAAGGGACCTCAGCATAAACCAAATCCAAGCAGATGGGAGGTACTCTATTCCTTCCTCCTCCAAGCAGCTCCACCAACTCTGGCTTTGCAGTTAAGACCCAAAGCAAATTGCACTGGACAGATGGACAGCTAGGGCTCACTGCTTAGTTAATTTATGAGCTGGGCATGGAGTCAAGCAGGTTTAAAATCTGTGTTATAGATTTTAAACCAGGTAGCATTGGAGACATTTGTTTAAAAATGTAAAACAAATTTGCATATGATTTAGCATAAAATTACTTCTTGTGGTCGATTAACTCTACCTCCAAGAATGCAAGAATAAAATAAAATCAAGTACCGAAGCCAACTGCAATTGTGTTCAGCCTCAGTGTTTATAGCCGGACACCGGAAGAATACAAAACAGTTTCTAAATCCCATCAGTTTCATTCTATGCCAAAGCAGAGCCAAGGAAAAATGAGAAAACAGCTGAGATCTTGCTCACAAGCTTTGACCAGAGTAAGGCAAAGGCTTGCTGACCCTCCTTGGCTTGAGAAACAGGCTGAAGGTGACATCCTGCCTCCCCTGCTGTTGTGGCCCTGGAGGGTTATTGCCCAAAGCAGAAGACTCAGAAACAGAGCGCAGGCACAGGGCTGCATATGGATATTACTAATATTTCCTTGCATTTGAGCAGTTCATAAGATTAACTCACAACCATCTGCTGGGCTGGATAGCATGGCTTTTCTACAGATGGGAAAAATGGAGCACAGAGAAGTAAAGTGACTTGTTCAAGGTCACACAAGAATTAAGGATAAGATTTGAATGCAGGTCTGACTCCAAGTCCAAAGGTCTTCCTACATCCCATACCATAAGTCTAGTATGTATATGAGTATGTATATTTATATACACGTAAACTTGCATATTCAGACACACAACTCTTCCTAGCCCACCTCTGTGACTTTGGAGAAAAAAAGGCCCTTTCCTCTCAACACAGTTGGGGAGCTCAGAGGCCACCAGAGCCTGGCATTTAATTTGCTTACCATGGTGCCATCAGCAATCCTCTCAGGAGCCAGCTTGGCCTTGCTGGCCTTCTCAAAGCAATCTGCATCAGGGCCGTGGGGGGTCATGGCACTGTGCAGGCTGCCTCCCCCTGGCAGGAATCCACCTTGCTTTGCCTCGTAGTGACCTCGGATGAGTCCCATGAATTCACTCATGCAATTCCCTGAGAAGGTTGAAGCAGTATTGTTTTTATTATTTAAGGCAAGAATAATAAAACATCAAGACCTCTAAAATATTATTCCTGCAGAATGCCAAGAAGATAGAGGATATGATAAATTTTATAGGATTAAAAAAAATATGGTTTGACAGAAAAACAACATTCTTGGTAGGCAAAGCTCAACTCCATGGTATGTAGATGAAAGTCTTGAGTTCCAGTATCTGAAAGAAACTAGACTAGATCTAAAGAAATCAAGGCCCAGACAAGATAATGATAAAAATGAAAATCATAATAACAAGTGGATAGGTTCCCGTATTAAAGTCATCTTCTCTTCTAGATCAGAGCTCCTTCCCCAATAGCTGCAGCACAGCAGTATATAGTGTCACCACATTTCTGATTCCCAGTCTAGAAAGATGAAATGGTATGTGTGTGTGTGTGTGTGTGTGTGTGTGTGTGTGTGTGTGTGTGTGTGTGTGTGTGTGTGTACTGGTGGACGGTGATGTAATGGAAAG